TCTGTCTGATTGTGTGGTCCACTTGTGAGTTCTCTAAACCTGGTTAAAATAATTTACAATTTGGATATTGCTTTTCAGCAGGACAAAAATGACATATGTGGCCCAAGGAAATTTCTAGGATGTAGAATTTCTCTGAAGAAAAACTGTAAGAAAATCACCTTTTAAAAGGTGTGAATGAAGGGCTGCTGATAAACTGAGAACAGGTGGAAACTAGTTGAATGTAATGCTTGGTTAGTTACTGCAGAGCCGCAGATCCTATGGTCCTTGGTCAGAAAACGGATCTGTTTCAATTTGAAAGAGTAGGATTGCATTATCTTGTGGGGCCCAGGGGCAGGAGAGGACACATGTCCCGGTGGAGGGGAGTGGAGCGTGGATGAACTTGCTGGCTGTACCGTGAGCTCTCTGTGGATATTTGTATCTTCCAAACCTTTGGTTGACTACTTTGTGATAGTGTGTTTTCATGACTGTTGTTTGTTGTTGATCTCTTTAAGCAGTTACTGTGGGATTTTTTGTTGTTGAGATCCATGTTTTTATGTTTTCACCTTTGGTATACGTGCAAAACTTGCCATGTTGCATTTGAAAGTACATAATGGCTTACAAGCTGTTACTGCATACTGCTTCAGGAAAAAAACAATTGAAATAATGCATAAAGATTAAATATTAACATACTTTAAAAAAAAAGAACAAATCTCTGATTCAATGAATTAAGAGAAAGTAGTTGTCTATCTATCCTAACTCCCACCCTGGTGTGAACATTTCTATCGTGGCTGAGGTCAAGTTACCAACAGGCTGTCTGCCAACAAAGAGCTACAAAGAGGTGAGGTGCGGGATTGGCAGTCAGAAAATGGCCCTGCCTGGCTGCCCTACAGGGGATCAAGTAGATCAACAGCAAATGCGTGTGGGTAGGCGCAGCAGATACACACGCAGTACTGTGTGTGTGTGCGTGTGTGTGTGCGTGCGCGCGCGCTGGTGAGAGACCAGATGTGCATGTGCTGTGTGCGACACAAGGCACACTTTCCCTCAGCAATGCAGATGGGGGGGGGCTCTGACCTGGGAGCACACGGGAGCTCCTGGGCTGGCCCGCTAGAAGTAGCACAGGGGTCCCTCACTTAGTGCGGGGGTTACGTTCCAGACGCCCCTTCCTACACTCCTTTTTTTTTTGGGGGGGGGCTGGCTCAGCCTGCCCTGAGGGTGGGACTAGCGTGGCATGTGGTGCCAGGGATCGAACTGCGGTCTCCTGAACCTGCCTAAGCTTTAGGCCGCTGAGCTATCTCGCTGGCCCTTCCCACACTCTTATAAACTTTTTGCATACTTTTAAAAACACCACTAATGTTCTTAATCATTTTCTAAACTCATAAACTTATGTGATTTTAGCAACATATGTATACTGTACTGTGCTGCAAAATCCCACAATGTAGCAAAAACTCCGAGATAAATAATTTAGATTAATATTTTTTGAGGGCTGGGGAGATAGCTCAGTAGAATAAGTGCTTGCCTGGCAAGTGCAAGGTCCTGAGTTCAATCCCCAATACCAGAAAAA